CATAATAAAATAGCAAAACAATCTCATGCTCAGTGTTCAGAGTTCCGTATTCCATTCCATTCGTCCATGTTTGTCGTCAGATCTTCCTTTAGCTGCCAGCATGTCCAAAAGCTTGGTCCCATATCCAGGTCTTCAGTTTTTTCCTGAACGTCAGAAGGGAGGTCGCTGATCTAATCTCCCCGGGGAGTGAGTTCCACAGGTGAGGGGCCACCACTGAGAAGGCCCTGCTCCTTGTCCCCGCCAACCTCACTTGTGATAGTGGCAGAGTCGAGAGCAGGGCCTCCCCGGACGATCTTAAATTTCGAGATGGGATGTAGAGGGAGATCCGTTCGGACAAACATTCCTGCTTCTTGGCAGAATGGGGTTGGACTGGATGGCCCATGAGGTCCCTTCCAACTCTAGGATTCTATGATTCTGTGACTTCCCTAGATCTAGGCACTATGCTCCTATTGATGCAGGCCAATGTAGGTGAACTACAACTCCAAAATTCAAAGTCAATTCCCACCAAACCCTTCCTGTATTTTCTGTTGGTCATGAGAGTTCTGTATGCCAAGTTTGGTTCAATTCCATCGTTGATCCTTACGACAAAGTGTGGATCTTTATGACAATTACATAGCATAGCCTTGCTCTGGGGGGGGGGGGGGGGGTGTCACTGATATATATTTTCTGTTCGTCGTGGGAGTTCTGTGTGCCACATTTGGTTCAATTCCATCATTGGTGGAGTTCAGAATGCTCTTTGATTGTAGGTGAACTATACATCCCAGTAACTACAACTCGCATATGTCAAGGTCTATTTTCCCTAGGTAATTTTCAAAGGTATGCAAACAGTATTTTGGTGCCCCCCCCCCCAACCAATCCTGATATATATTTTCTATTCGTCGTGGGAGTTCTGTGTGCCGTATTTGGTTCATTTCCATCATTGGTGGAGTTCAGAATGTTCTTTGACTGTAGGTGAACTATACATCCCAGTAACTACAACTCGCGTATGTCAAGGTCTATTTTCCCTAGGTAATTTTCAAGTGTAAGCAAACAGTATTTTGGTGCCCCCCCCCAACCAATCCCTGATATATATTTTCTATTCGTCGTGGGAGTTCTGTGTGCCGTATTTGGTTCATTTCCATCATTGGTGGAGTTCAGAATGTTCTTTGACTGTAGGTGAACTATACATCCCAGTAACTACAACTCGCATATGTCAAGGTCTATTTTCCCTAGGTAATTTTCAAGTGTAAGCAAACAGTATTTTGGTGCCCCCCCAACCAATCATATATATATATATATATTCTGTTTGTCGTGGAGTTCTGTGTGCCATATTTGGTTCATTTCCATCATTGGTGGAGTTCAGAATGCTCTTTGATTGTAGGTGAACTATACATCCCAGTAACTACAACTCGCATATGTCAAGGTCTATTTTCCCTAGGTAATTTTCAAGTGTAAGCAAACAGTATTTTGGTGCCCCCCCCCAAACCAATCCCTGATATATATTTTCTATTCGTCGTGGGAGTTCTGTGTGCCGTATTTGGTTCATTTCCATCATTGGTGGAGTTCAGAATGTTCTTTGACTGTAGGTGAACTATACATCCCAGTAACTACAACTCGCATATGTCAAGGTCTATTTTCCCTAGGTAATTTTCAAGTGTAAGCAAACAGTATTTTGGTGCCCCCCCCAACCAATCATATATATATATATTTTCTGTTCGTCGTGGGAGTTCTGTGTGCCATATTTGGTTCAATTCCATCATTGGTGGAGTTCAGAATGCTCTTTGATTGTAGGTGAACTATACATCCCAGTAACTACAACTCGCATATGTCAAGGTCTATTTTCCCTAGGTAATTTTCAAGTGTAAGCAAACAGTATTTTGGTGCCCCCCCCCCCAAACCAATCCCTGATATATATTTTCTATTCGTCGTGGGAGTTCTGTGTGCCGTATTTGGTTCATTTCCATCATTGGTGGAGTTCAGAATGTTCTTTGACTGTAGGTGAACTATACATCCCAGTAACTACAACTCGCATATGTCAAGGTCTATTTTCCCTAGGTAATTTTCAAGTGTAAGCAAACAGTATTTTGGTGCCCCCCCAACCAATCATATATATATATATATATATTCTGTTTGTCGTGGAGTTCTGTGTGCCATATTTGGTTCATTTCCATCATTGGTGGAGTTCAGAATGTTCTTTGACTGTAGGTGAACTATACATCCCAGTAACTACAACTCGCATATGTCACGCCTTTTCCTCTATCTTTTTCCTTTTTTCCTCATGTTCTTTGACTGTAGGTGAACTATACATCCCAGTAACTACAACTATTTTCCCCCAAGAGCGCCTCAAGAGCGCCCCTGGGCAACATCAACTCTACCGCGACGGCTTACTGTGCGTAATGGTTGAGCCGCCCCTGTTTCTAGGATCGGTTCCATTCTCTTCCTCCTTCCCTTTCTTTCTCTCCTTCCTTTGAAACGAAGGTTTGCAACGGGAGGGAAGGGCGGCCCTGGCATTCTACGTTTGCCAAATCAGCCTTGGAAACCCTCCTCTTTTGGGGTCTCACCCAGCAGAAGGCCGGCCACACTTTGGGGCCTTTCTGCAGGCATTGATTTCTCCTCCCTTGATGTTCGTCAAGTCCATTTCTGAGCCGGCCTTTGATGGCGGAGAAGGATCTGCATCAGAAGCAGAGCCACCCTTTGTTGTTGGAGATGAAAGAGTGGGAAGGAAGGAAGGAAGGAAGGAAGGAAGGGGTTCCCATAAGGCAGCAGTTCTCAACCTTCCTGATGCCGCGACCCCTTAATACAATTCATCATGTTGTGCTGACCCCCAACCATAACATTAATTGTTGCTACTTCATAACTGTCATTTTGCTACTGTTATGAATCATAATATAAATATCTGATATGCAGGATGTATTTTCCTTCACTGGACCAAATTGGGTACAAATACCCGATACGCCCAAATTTGAATACTGGTGGGGTGCTTGGGAGTTGTCGTTGCTGGGATGTATAGTTCACCTACAATCAAAGAGCATTCTGAACTCCACCAACGATGGAATTGAACCAAACTTGGCACACAGGACTCTCACGACCAACAGAAAATACTTGAAGGGTTTGGTGGGTATTGACCTTGAGTTTGGGAGTTGTAGTTCACCTACATCCAGAGAGCACCGTGGACTCAAACAATGATGGATCTGGACCAAACTTGGCATGGATACTCAATGTGAACACAGATGGAGTTTGGTGGAAAATAGACCTTGACATTTGTGAGTTGTAGTTGCTGGGATTTATAGTTTACTTATCAAGAGCATTCTGAACCTCGCCAACGATAGATTTGGGCCAAAGTTCCCACACAGAACCCCCATGACCAACGGTAAATACTGTGTTTTCTGATGGTCTTTGGTGACCCCTCTGACACCCCCCCCGCGACCCCCCCCAGGAGTCCCGACCCCCAAGTTGAGAAACACTGCCATAAGGTTTGCAAAGGGAGCGAAGGATGGCCCTGGGTGAACAAGATGGGGAGCCCTTCCTCACATCTGGGGTGACCCATCACATAATAATCATAATAAAACTTTATTTGTATTTTGCCCCATCTCCCCGGCAGGACTAACAATGTGCAGCAATGTCCCAAGGAAAGGCAAATGTGTGTCCTTCACTTATGGCAGCATTTCTCAACCTGGGGGTCAGGACCCCTGGGGGGAAGGTTCGCGAGGGGATGTCAGAGGGGTCACCAAAGACCATTAGAAAAACAGTATTTTCTGTTGCTCATGGGGGTTCTGTGTGGGAAGTTTGGCCCAATTCTATTGTTGGTGGGGTTCAGAATGTTCTTTGGGTTGTTGTAGGTTTTTTCGGGCTCTATGGCCATGTTCTAGAGGCATTCTCTCCTGACGTTTCGCCTGCATCTATGGCAAGCATCCTCAGAGGCAGTAAGGTCAGACAAGAAGTGGAAAAAGGGAGAAATCACCAAAGAAGAATTCAAACTACCTCTGAGGATGCTTGCCATAGATGCAGGCGAAATGTCAGGAGAGAATGTCTCTAGAACGTGGCCATAACAAAAATAATTTTATGGTTAGGGGTCACCACAACATGAGGAAGTATATGAAGGTGCATTAGGAAGGTGGAGAAACTTATGAAGTTTTGGTGTTGGAAGAAGTTTTGTGTCTTCCGAGAATGGCTTTTGCTCCAATCCTCCACTTTACGGCCTCCGCGTGCTGCAAATATTTCATCGGAGCGGCTTGTTTTGAAATATCGACAGTGTCTATATCGCCCTTAATAGCGTTAATATTTCAAATCCTTACCAAGCGGGACTAAGCCCAGGGCCCAACGTCAGAACTCGGAATCTGGATCAGTCTCCTTTTCCTTGGATTCGGCGGAACAAATCCCTTCCTTGCGTCACAAGATGCCTTTGCATCTCTGCATCACTCCTTCTGTGTCTCTTTCTCCTGCCGGTCACCACTGGGACCACCTTGACTGGCTTGTGCCGTTCGATCTTTAAATCCTGATATCGTGTCAGCTTTTCCAGTTGTTTCTCTGCAATCCTGCTGTCACTTGGGATTGCAACATCGACAATCCACACTTTGTTTTTTAACATGATCGTGAGGTCAGGAGTGTTGTGCTCCAAAACTCTGTCAGTCTGAATCCGGAAGTCCCAGACGAGTTTGGCGTGTTTATTTTCTGTAACTTTTTCCAGCTTGTGATCCCACCCGTTCTTTGTCGCAGGCAGATGGGATTTGTGGCACAGGTTCCAACTAATCACCCGAGCAGCGGTGTTGTGCCTCTGCTTGTAGCCTGTCCACGATCTTCTTGCAGCAGCTCAGGATGGGATCTATGTTTCATCCACTTCGTTGCAGAGTCTACACTTGGGATCTGTCGTCGACTTTTCAGTTCTGGCTTTGATGGCCTTGGTTCGAATGGCTTGTTCTTTTCTGTTGTTGTTGTTGTTGTTATTTTGCCTTTTGTATTGCAATGTTTCCCTCCTCCGACTGAGCTTCTCTTCCTCTCCTTCTTCTTCCCTTTCTCCGCAGTGCCTCTACGGCTGCTACGTCCACTCCTCCATCATCCCCACTTTCCACCGAAGGTGCTATTGGCTGCTCCAGGTAAGGCAACCCTTGGGCATTTCTCTCTGAGTTTTGAGTTGCAAGCGTTTTTGAGGTCAGAGGCTGGATGGCCATCTGTCGGGGGTGCTTTGATTGTGCTCTTCCTGCCGGGAAGAAATAACTCTGCGGTTCATTTCCTGATGGTTGTTTTGATGGTATTCTCCGATGTCGAGGAGTTGGGGTTTCCCTCAAAGTGTTTATCCATTCAAGTATCCATTGTTTTCCCCACTCATTAAGCCACTGGCATTTCCTTACTTCATAATCCATTCAAGTATCCATTGTTTTCCCCTCTTCCCGCCTCCCTCCCTACAAAATAAAGACTTTGTAGAAAACGGAGTGAACCTCTCCCTCCAGCAGAGGTTCAGGAACGATCGATCCTCTTCTATTAGCGGCTCATTTTGGGATCCAGTGGCATATTTATTTATTTATCGTGTCAGAAGCAAATTCAGAATACAGATATCATGTATTTAAAAGACCAGAAACAAAATTAAAAACATGACATGATGTTAAATCATCATGGCCACTTGGAGTGCTTGTGTTGTCGCCGTGAGAATGTCCTCCATTGCGGATGTTTCAGGATTCATTGTAGTCGGTGGTCTCTGGTTTGCTCTTCTCCGCACTCGCATGTCGAGGACTCCACTTTGAAGTCCCATTTCTTCAGGTTGGCTCTGCATCTCATAGTGCCAGAGCGCAGTCTGATCATATTTTAGAGCAGGAATTTAGGGAGGCAGAGACCAATCAGACTCTTTAAAGAGTTCGTTACCCTGGTGAGACAGAGAGAAGCACCCAATCCCTGATTTTTCCCAATAAAAGGCCTCACCAAGTGGAAGGAAGTGCCACCGAGATGTTTTATTTGCGATTCAGCTGAAAAGGATGCAATGTACCAATCATTCGCCAAGCAGAGCATGTGGTTACAGAAATAAATGCTATTTTTATAGAAATACAGAGTTGTATGGTTCAAATCTCCCGCCCCCGCCCCCCCAGTCGTTCTTCGTTGTGATTGGCTGACGTGCCAACAGCTGGGAGGGGGCTCGTCCGCCCCCGGTGCATCTAGGAACCAATCAGGGAGCTGCTGCAGTGCGTCAGGGCCAATGAAAAGGCTTCTACCGCTCTGGGTCCCGACGAATCAGGAGGGAGGGAGGCGGGAAGAGGGGAAAACAATGGATACTTGAATGGATTATGAAGTAAGGAAATGCCAGTGGCTTAATGAGTGGGGAAAACAATGGATACTTGAATGGATTATGAAGTAAGGAAATGCCAGCGGCTTAATGAGTCCCAGGAAGGGCCTTCTAATCAAGTAGTTCTATTGATTCATGAATGGTGATAATTGAATACAAATAGGAAAATCTGGGCTTTCTGTGGTGGCAGAACAGAAAGACAAAAGGGGCAATACTGGGCGAAGTTTTTGATGAATGATTGAATGGGGCAACAGGGCGGAAAGGGGGATGCTTTCCGAAGGTGCCCCCCATCTCCAATTAGAAAAGTAATCAAAAGTCTGCCAAGGGGTGACCTCCCTGCTGGGCGAAACTCCGAGGGCAAGGATGTCGCCTTTGTTTCTGTCCATGCAAAAGATTTGTTGATAAGAGTTCTTTGTGATTGATTTAGGCTCTGCACCCTTTCAGTATCGGGGGCACTTCCTGGTGGGATTTCATCCTGGCACAGCCTTATTATCCAGCCTGGCGTCCTTGCCCTTAGCAAAACTATAAATTACTATCTCTTATGGGGGGGGGGGGGTCATGTTCGACTTCAATCACACCTTCCATGCTTCTGTGTGCCCAGGAGGGAGTTTCTCATCCGGTCTCAGCCACTGATTGAGGTTCCGGGTTTTAGCCTGCCACTTTTGGACTCTCGCTTGCTGAGGTGTTCCTGCCTGTATCTCCCGTAGATATTAGGATGCTATTTCTTGATTTAAGACATTGGTGTGTTGGCTGATATCCGAACAGAGGATGGGCCGGAGATGTCACTGCTTTGGTCCTTTCATTACAGGCTGCTAGTTCCCAACGGATGTCACGTGGTGCAATGCCATCTAAACAGTATAATTTCTCCAGTTGTGTAGGGCGTAGACATCCTGTAATAATGCGCCATGTCTCATTAAGAGCATGGTGAGATGTGCTCCACACTGGGCATGCACACTCTACAGAATAGCCAAGCGCAAGGGTGGATGTCTTCACTGTGTCTGGTTGTGATCCCCAGGTTGTGCCAGTCAGCTTTCGTATGATATTATTTCTAGCACCCACTTTTTTCTTGATATTCAAGTAGTGCTTCTTGTAGGTCAGAGCACGGTCCAGGCAGGGTAACATTCATCCGAGGAGGCCCTGCTCTTGATCCCGCACGTCTGGCAGAGCTTGAGATGCTTGTCTGTTATTAAATTGCACACGTCTGCATTTTAGATGGATGAGGGATCTGTTGGTTTTCCCTGTCATAGGCAAGAAGAGCACCTAAAACTTTGGAGAACTTTTGTTCAACCATTTCAAAGCTCCCTACATGAGTGGTGATGGCATGATCGTCAGCATAGACGTTTGCCCCAATTCCGTCGTTAGTGGGGTTCAGAATACTCTTTGATTGTAGGTGAACTATAAATCTCAGTAACTACAACTCCCAAATGTCAACATCTATGTCCCCCAAACTCCATATGTATTCATATTTGGGCATATGGAATATTCGTGCCAAGTTTGGTCCAGATCCATCATTGTTTGAGTCCATGTGAGTCTCTAGATGTAGGTGAACTACAACTCCAAAACTCAAGGTCAATGCGCACCAAACCCTTCTAGTGTTTTCTGTTGGTCATGGGAGTCCTGTGTGCCACGTTTGGTTCAATTCCATCGTTGGTGGAGTTCAGAATGCTCTTTGATTGTAGGTGAACTATAAATCCCAGCAACTACAACTCCCAAATGACAAAATCATAATTTTTTGAGTGATGGTCACTCCTTGTTTTGTGAGACGTTTTGTTGCCAAATTTGGTGTGATTTCGTTCATTGGTTCTTTTGTTTTTAAGGTACTCAGTGATGCCCAGAGCATTTTTATATATATAGATCTAGATGATGATGATGATGATGATGATGATGATGATGATGATTAGAAACACAACAAGGTTAGTCCACAGCAAACAAGATCACTCTGCTGGCTATGTCCAGGACAGTGTGATGTATCGGTGAATAATGCATACAGATCCCAGTAAGGTGCCCTTTTGCAGCCGGCAGATGGTAATTTCGTCATTGCCGATTGTCTTTAAGTGCAGGCCAGGGTCTTTAGGCACTGCACCCAGTGTGCCGATCACCACTGGGACTACCTGTACTGGTTTGTTCCAGAGTCTGCAGTTCGATCTTTAAATACTTGTGTCAGCTTTTCCAGTTGTTTCTCTGCAATCCTGCTGTCGCCTGGGATTGCAACATCAACAATCCATACTTTGTCTTTTAACACAATTGTGACGTCAGGAGTCTTGTGCTCCAAAACTCTGTCTGTCTGTATCCGGAAGTCCCAGAGTAGCTTGACGTTAACGTTTTCTAGCTTGTGATCCCACCAGTTCTATGTCGCAGGCAGATGGTGTTTGTGGTACAAGTTCCAGTGAATCATCTGAGCAATGGTGTTGTGCCTCCGTTTGTAGTCTGTCCATGATCTTCTTGCAGCAGCTGAGGATGGGATCTATTGTTTCATCTACTTGGCGTGTTCATTCTTTCCAACTTTTTCCAGCTTGTGATCCCACCAATTCTTTGTCACAGACAGAAGGTGTGTTTGCGGCACAAGTTCCAATGAATCATCTGAGCAAGGGTGTTGTGCCTCCGTTTGTAGTCTGTCCATGATCTTCTTGCAGCAGCTGAGGACGGGATCTAGTGTTTCATCTACTTGGCGTGTTCATTCTCTGTAACTTTTTCCAGCTTGTGATCCCACCAGTTCTTTGTCACAGATAGATGGTGTTTGTAGCATTAGTTCCAATGAATCATCTGAGCAAGGGTGTTGTGCCTCCGTTTGTAGTCTGTCCACGATCTTCTTGCAGCAGCTGAGGATGGGATGTCTTATTTCGCCTGCTTCCTTGCAGAATCTACACTTGGGATCTGTTGTCGACTTTTCAATTCTGGCTTGGATGGCATTGGTTCGAATGTCTTGTTCTTAGGCTGCCAGAATCAGGCCCTCCTTCGTCTCCTTTTTCAGAGTCCCATTTATTTTTAATAAATTATTATTATTAATTATTATTATTAATTATTATTATTATTATTATTATTATTATTATCAAAACAAACAAGCAAGCAACAAGCAAACAAGATCACTCTGCTGGCTGTGTCTATGTAAGACTGTAGGTTTTATATAGCAATATTAAATGATCACTCACAAGCCGGTTTTGCTTTGAAATGAATATATTGCTTGTATCTCTGCAGCAAAGAAAGACACTACTGACATTTTCCCACCACCACTTCCTTTTATACACTTTTCCTGCCCATCTCTTCTCAGTTTCCTTATTAGAACTCATTGCTTCACAAGTTCCAATACAAGGTTTCCAGGGCCCTTTGCTGGCTTCAAAATGTCACAGAGAGAAAACTGAGGCAGCCAGGATGATGATGTCACGGAGGGAATTTGTGATGTCTTCATGCCGTC